GTCCCGCGTCTGTTCAAACCCTGGGTCCTTCTCTCCTCGTTCCTTCTCCGCCATTGGTCTCCAGCCCCGTTTCCCGACGCTCCGAGCGCGGGCTCGCGCTGGGCGCCCCCGACTTTCTCCTTTCTGTGTTCGTCTCTCTCCACCGGGAACCCACGCGGCTCTGGGCACATAGGAGCGTCTCCCCCAGCCCATCGTTCCAGGGGTGCTCAGCGCCCAGCTTTGGTGCCGTCCGAAAGCACCGCCTGGTTCTGTATTCTGTGGCCTCCTGGGTTTGCTTCAGGCCCAGCGGAGGTCAGTTCATCGGAATGTGTCAGGGGGCCACCCAGCCCCGCCAGGAAGTGGCCCTCCCACCTGGTGCCTGGAGCCTGTGCTGCGAGGATGGGGCCCTGGGGTTCGGGCCAGAAGGGGCCACTGTCCCCGACTCGGCCAGGGCTGAGGCGCCTCGAGCATTAGCGAGAGGAAACCATTGGCGGTTTAGGGGGGCACAGTGACATCTCCCCAGTTGTCGCCTGCAGTGCTGTGACTCGGGTGCACTGACGGTTTGGGGGACACAGTGACATCCCCCGCAGACGTCACCTGCGGTGCTGCGACCCGGCGGTTCGGTCTGACGTGCGGCCTGTCCCCCACCCCGGGTCTGTGGTGCCGTGTGCTTGCAGTTACGTCGGCTCGGACGCCCTCGGAGTGGACTCGCTCGAGGAGCAGTTCCGCGAGGCCTTCGTTTCCGTCAATCACCTCTTGCCGGACGACAAAGTGACGGCTCTGCACCACTCGGTGTACGTGAGGTAAGGGCCGGGCGGGGCTGCCGGCGGCTCATGCTGTCACCTGCTGCGTCTGTAAAGCTGGGTGCAGCTCCCCAAGGACACAGAGGCACGCGCGTGTTTTCTCCAAGGGCAAGGCGGGGCCTGGGGGCGGGGCACGCCGGCCGGTGCGGGAACCTGGCCTCCGGCCTCAAACGGCAAGTGCCGACAGGGACCGGGGCGGGAACGAAACGGGAGGAAGGAATCAGGACAGGAGCGGGGGCCGCTTTGCTCGCGACCCCTTTCACGCGCACCGCTTCATTCCGTAATTTCCCCAGCGACTCATGGGGAAGGTGCGTCCTTACACGACAGTCAGGTCCCCGAAGCCCAGAGGGCTCACCTGCCTGGCGAGGGGAGACGCGGTCGGGTGTTGTGTTCCATGCGTGTTTCCGGAACCTCGAACCGAGCCCCGCGAGTGTGTTCTCTGCTCTGGGGAGGAACGGCTTGTCAGCCTGTCCGCCCTGCAGCCGACAGCCACCCCCGGCCCGCGTGCAGTCCACAGGGATGGCTCATTTCACGGCACGGCTGGGGCTCTGAAGGCAGGAAAACTTGCGGAGGGACCGGGGTGGATCGTGAGAAAAGCGGGTGCCCGGCTCCCACTCGCGTGGGGGGCGCGCGTCACATCTCTGCTCCGGGAGGGGTCCTCTCCCAGGCGCGTGTGTCCCAGGCTGCAAGGACTCGTGCCGGCAGAGCCTCCCATCCGTCCGATGGGCACTCCGTGTCCCCCAGGGGCCGGTGAAGGACATTGACACACAAATGACACCAGCATATGCTTCTGTAACGTAGCTCGTCACAGATCTGTTATCATCAGCTACACAAAGCTCGGAAACACTCATCAGCCTGTCGCATACGCTGTCATTCACAACTGCTTTTATAGCTGCTGTGACTTCGGGCTCGTGGGTTTGTGACATAGACTAAAATTATAATCTAAACTAAAATTATCATCTGTGTTTAAGAGGGGGCGAAGAGTTTATTCTTCTTTTACCACAAGATTCAGTTTTTAAAAGTGTCCGTTTCACGGGCCTGGCATTCACTAAGCCCACCCTCTTTCCGCCTAGGGAGGGGTGCGCCTCGGGTCATGTGGTCACCTTGAAGTGCACAGGTAAGAGTCTTAGGAATTCGGAGAGAAGCAGCAGGAGCTCCCTCACACACTGCTGCCCTCCCCCTCCAGCTGCCAGGGGCCCCTCCCTCTGCGGACCCCACCTGGTGGAGGCCGGAGCAGGTCAGCCCTGTGTCGCCTGTCAGGGGGGGTGGCAGCCCAGACCGACTGCTCAGCAGAGCAGCAGACAGGACCACAGTGCGTGATGTCCTGTCACTCCGTGGTGGCTCCAGGGGCCTGACTTTTTCCTCCTCCGCCCCCTCGTGGGGAAAGTGGGCCCAGGCTTCCCAGTGCCCCTGGCAGGTGGCCCTGGCTCCTGGCGGCAGTGGCAGGGGTGGTGTTCCCGCTGCAGGGGCTGGGTCTGGAGAAGCCAGGCAGGTGCAGTAGGTGAGGGGGGCCTGCGGAGGGCCCCCCTGCTCCTGGTGGCTGTCGTCCAGGGGCGTGGGCCTCTCAGAGCGGGCGCTGCCAGCATTGGGGTCTTTGCTCTGATGGGTTCTTCCCGGTGCACCCCACAACACTCCTGCCGTCCCACGCCTCGGGGGACCTGCCCCATCCGTGTCCCTCGGCCGTGGGCTCCGTTGGGGAGAGGAGAGGTCGGTGTGATCAGCGCCCAGCGGCTGTTCTCCCCCTGCAGCCTGCGGCCTGAGGACGGGCTACAGCACACGCATCGTGGGCGGGAACACGTCCGCACTCGCCCAGTGGCCCTGGCAGGCCAGCCTTCAGTTCCAGGGCTACCACTTGTGCGGCGGCTCCGTCATCACGCCCCTGTGGGTGGTCACCGCGGCCCACTGTGTGTACGAGTGAGTATGGTCAGCCACCCTCCGCAGATGCATGCTGCCCAGGGCGCGTTGGGATGGGACGGGTTTGGGTGGTCAGCAGCGGGCCCAGAAAGTGGGCAAACCGACCAGATCGTCACAGGTAACATCCACGGGCAGGCATGCTCCTGCCTCGGCGTGGGTCCATCGCTGTCAGCTGGTGCACCTGGGACCTGCAGCTCTTACAGAAAAGGCAGAGGAGGGCGGATGCTTCGGGCAGGACGGATGCTTCAGGCAGGACGGAACCGCCAGTATAAGGGCCTCCGGCCTCCCTACAGGGACCACGTCGTTGCCGCCAGGGCGAGAGGCGGAGCAGGGTGTGCGGGGACACCGAGTCTCCCCAGAGCAGGCTCTCTCGGGGGAGGTTAGCAGAGAAGACCACAGAAAATAGCCCCCGGCTCCGTTAGTTTTGCCTCCCTCTGTTCCGGCGGCCGTCTGATGGACCATGGGCCCTGAGGGTCCCCTTGCGGTCAGCAAAATGGAGCTCAGATCTCAAAGGCCATGACGTCCCCAGAGGCGCGGGGCATGGGGGCTGAGGGCGGTCGGATCACAGGGTGTGGGACGCCTGCCGTCTCCCTGGGGCTGGGGCTGGGACGCGCGGGGTCGCGGGGTAAAGTGGTCGAGTTCCCTCACTTCACCCCTCGGTCTTCTCGTCGCAGCCTGTACCTCCCCAAGTCGTGGACCATTCAGGTGGGCCTCGTTTCCCTGCTGGACAGTCCGGCCCCCGCCCACCTGGTGGAGAAAATTCTCTACCACAGCAAGTACAAGCCGAAGAGGCTCGGCAATGACATCGCGCTCATGAAGCTGGCGGGGCCCCTCTCCTTCAATGGTGGGTCTGCTGTCCTTGCCGCTCCGTCTCTGCCACCTGTGTCCAGAGAGTCCGTAATTGCTCGCTGCAGCGTTTCCCGCTGGCTGCTTCACGGTCCTCGTCAGACAGCGCCAACGTCCGGGTCACTTCTGGGTTGGCGCCCGTCGATTCTCTTCCCAGTAAAGTGGTGATTTTCCTGGCTCTCGGTCTGACGAAAAGTTTTCAGTCGTATTTGGACACGGGCCACTCTGTAGGGAGATGCTGGGTCCCACACTCACCTTCGAGTTTGGTAGGTGCCCACTCCCCCAGCTCAGGGTCGCTGGGCAAGTCTCGCTCTGCTTCTGTGGGCCGTGGTTCCGATGGTTATTTTATTTCAGAGCCTTTTGGTTCTACTTTGGTCAACGTGGTTTGTCTGGTGCCACTGGGCTCCCACCGGTGCCACTTTCTTCCTGCTGGTGCCACCTGGAGACGAAAGGGACTTTCCCAAGCCAGGCCACCTGGTGCCTCTAGTGGGTGGAAGGGGGTTTCCCCTGTGGGGACAAAAAGCTCTTCTCCGTCTGATGTTGGCTGTGGTGAGGTCCTCCACCAGCCCCAGTATCTCAGTTTTGGCCGAGAAAGCGAGCTCCCCAGGCCGGCCAGCTGGTTGTGGCGGGGTCCTCCCTGTGGCCATTTCTTTATGAGCGGGCAGAGGCAGGGCACTGTCACCTCCCTGAAGTACTCAGAAACATTCTCTCCCAACCAGTGCTGAGATCAGCAGTCTCTGTTTTGCTATAAGAAATGTCAAGACCTGATCTCTAGAGGTTACAGAAATGCCAAAAAAGCCACAGCAGATAGAACTTTCAAACTTTTCGTGGATGCGAACAAAGCATTATGAGCCTAGTTCTAAATAAATTACAGCCTCTGCTCCTTCCCAAGGTCACGGGTGGCTCGGAGAGCAGGCAGAGCGTGGCACACACCGCCCCACGTCGTGGGGCAGAATCCTGGCATGAGACCAGCAGCAGGTCTGGCCTGGCCTGGCGGTCGTCACTGCGTTTACTGCAGGGCACAGGGTGCACGTGATGCTCTGCACGTGATGTTCTGTAACTAATATTTCTAGAGAAACAAAGAGATCGTGACGGTGGTTGACTATTATTAACGATACTTGTACTTTGATAAAAATTAAAATAAACCCTCCCCTTAATCTTTTTCCACCTTTCCGTTATCGTCATACCCAGCAAAGCTTAGCATATCTCAGAACGTACTCACGCGAAGGCCCCATGAAGCCCATGACCCTGACCTCAGGGAAGGGCTTGTGTGACACGGCCCACGTGGACAAGCAACACGGTTGCCTCCAGGTGTGCCAGAGCGACAGGAATGTTCATGGAGGGACATTCTGTAAAGCAGCGAGTCCATGGTCTGGACCAGGAGTGGGCAAACTATGGCCCACGGGCCGGATCTGAGCCTTTGCCTGTGTTTGTAAATAAAGTTTTATTGGAACACGGCCAGACCACGTGCTTACTCTTGCCTGTGGCTGCCTTCCTGCTACTGTGGCACAGTTGAGTGGCTGCAGTGGAGACCACATGGCCTGCCAAGCCGAAAACATCTACCGTTGGGCTCTTCACAGAACATGGGCCGACCCCTGGCCTAGACCCCCTGACGTTGCTGGCCTGGGGTCGCTTTAATGTGTTAGGGCTCTGGTGGGGGAGGGCCCCGCTCTGCGCTCACAGCTTTCAGACGGCCAAGGGCCTGGCCCTTCCTTGGGAGCCCACCTGCCCCCCTCAGAGAGTGAGCGCTGGTTCCACCGCTTCAGTCGAGTTGATGGTTGTTTCTTCTTTAAACAGAGATGATTCAACCAGTCTGTCTGCCCAATTCCGAAGAGAACTTTCCTGATGGAAAAGTGTGCTGGACGTCAGGATGGGGGGCCACCGAGGAAGGAGGTCAGTGGCCCTAAGTCCAGATTCTGAGTCCGGGGAGCCCAGAGCCGAGGGCCTGGGGTGGACGTGCACAGCGACGCATTCCCCCTGCACTGCCCCAGTGTGAGGCTCCCGCGGGACAGCCACGCGCCCCCGTCACGGGGTGCGGGTCAAATGCTCCAACAAACACGCGGTCAGCGAGTAGTCATGGGTCGCAAGTCACGGTTCCATTTGTCTTGGGACGTGAACACGCAGACTTTCTCAGGGGAGACATAAGTCATGAACTGTGGACAGACCTGGACGGAGGGACCGTCGCCTTCCTCTCCTTCCTCCCCCTCCGCCCTCTCCTCCCGCCTGATAACTAAGCCCCCAGTGCCCTGCAGAGACCCCTCCCGAGGTGTACTCGGAAGTCAGAGGTTTGTAACTGAGGAGGAGGTTTTGTCTTGTGTGCCTCTGGGAGATGCGTTATTTCATCCTACAAAGATGAAGCAGAAAACGCAGACGGACTGGACCTTATCGCTATAATCGCGTAGAACCAGTGATGTTAACAGGAGCACACGCGAGTGAAGCCTGTGCCGTCCGCGTGGAGCGCGCTGTGGTCACAGGTCTCGGGGTTCCCATCGCCTGCTTCCCCGTTAGGGAAGAGCATCGCTTCCTGGGGCTGCTGTAACAGACGGCCACAGACGGCCACAGACGGACATTTGCCTTGCCCTCGGACTGAGGCCGGGAGTGTGAAATCAAGGTGCTGCAGCCGGGGTCCCTCGGGAGGGTCTGAGGGAGAATCCGCCGGCCTCGGCCTTCCCCGGGGTCTGGGGCTCCGGCTGCCCTTGCCGTCCCTTGGAGTGCAGATGCAGCCCTGCGGTCTCTGTCTCCATCGTCGCGTCTCTGCCTCAGATCGACCCCTCTCATGTCTGTCTCTTATGAGGACAGTGGCCTTTGGAGTCAAGGCTTCCTGACCCACAATGCTCTCGCCTTGAGAGTCCTACTTTAATTACACCTGCGAGGACCCTGTTCCAAATAAGGTCACGTTCTAAGGTTGCTGGCGGACACGTCTGGGGGAGGGGCGCGCCACTGCCCGCACCGCTGTCTGCTCCTCTCAGCAGCCCCTGAGGGGCCATTATTTCCGTGCCCGGTCTTAGGGGCAAAGAGACATGGGAAAGGGGGCACTGACCCCTTAATCAGGACCACAGGATCAGGTGGTGGGAGGTCTGGGGTGCTCAACGCTCCCCGCCCACATTCCCGCCCACATTCCCGCCCATACCCCATCCTTGCTGTTGTCATGAACTTGAGAGTGCCCGGAGAGGGGCTGCTTGGGAGTCTTCATGGGTCCTTGGGCGGCGAGTAGGGACAGGCACAGGCTCGGCCCGACCTCACGGCCAGGTGGCGCGCACTGCAAGGCTGGCGGACGTGTGAGCAGACTGGAGAAGCCTGTGCAGAACGCAGGTGTCTCGCACACCCACACAAGAGCTGGACGGGGCGCAAGGACTGGAGGCCCCTCCCCCCCACACCGTGGGCACGCGCTGGAGTGGGGAGGGCGGGGCGCCCCGGGTCAGGCTCCAGGACACCACGATAACCGCGCCACGAGCCGGGCGAGTCAGAGGGTGCCGGTCACGTCGGCCCGGCGGCGAGGCTGACCCACGGCAGATGTGTCACCTTCCTGTCGCGTGACCCCAGACTCAGCAGCTAAAACGGCACAGAGGCCTCACCTTCCGCGTGGAGCCCCGAAGCCCCGGATCAGTCTCAGCCGGCTGCAGTCGAGATGCCAAGGGGGCGGGTTCCGTCTGGGGGCTCCGGGGGTCTGTCCCCCGCCTTGCCCAGCATCTCGCGGCGCCACACCCAGGCTCGCGGCCCCTCCTCCGTCTTCACAGCCAGCGACACAGCACCTACAGCCGCTCTGCCCTCTGGCCTCGGCTTTCGTCCCCTTGGACCCTTGTGATTACATTTGGGGTCCACTCATAACCCGATGACGCCCCCACCTCAGGGTCCTATTGCATCTGCAAGTCTCTTGTGCCGCGTAGAGTGACACAGTCGTAGGTCCCGGGGATGGGAGTGCCACCAGGAAACTGTGTGTGGCCTTCGTGAGCCTCGGCTTTGCCCCTGTGACCTAGTTGCTCTGGGAGAGAAACAGGCTGGTGCGGATCAGGCGCTTGGCCCAGGACGGGCCCTGGGGAGGTCCATGGGGGCGACTTTCATCCCCACCTTCTCCCCAGCTGGTCCCCTTAGGGAAGTGGGCGGCTCCGGCCTGAAGCAGCAGGGCCTGCTTGGCCTGTCATGGGGCGAGTCCCAGGGCTGCCTGGTGCTCCACGCGGACCCCGGCCGCCCCCCTGTGGGCGTGGCCTCCTCCGCCCGGATGTCTGCCCTCCGCATTCTGAGCAGACTCCCCCTCACTGCACGCCCCCCCACCCCCCCGCTCTGACGCAGGTGACGCCTCCGCGGTCCTCAACCACGCAGCCGTGCCTTTGATCTCCAACAAGCTCTGCAACCACAGGGACGTGTACGGTGGCATCATCTCGCCCTCCATGCTCTGCGCCGGCTACCTGAAAGGCGGCGTGGACAGCTGCCAGGTAGGGGCCCGCGCCCGCCTCCGGGGGCCACCGCCGTGGGCCAGGCGCGGCTTTGGCATGGCGCCCCAGCCCGTGGGATGGGCCACCGCCAGCACTTCCCTGTGACGGGCTGAAAAGCAAATTTACAGGGCGTGGGGAAGTTTGCTCAAGATAGCACCCCCTTTCCTGGCAGGCGCTCCCACCCTGCCTGGGTGCCGAGAGGGAGGGGCCTGCAGGACCGTCAGCGCCAGTCCTGGTTCTCAGAGTCTGCAGGGGGCAAAGCGCAGTGGGACCTGGCGACTGTGGGGCTCCAAAGCCATAGTGGGCCAGGCTCCAACACTGCCCGGTCGGGAGGTCAGCGGAAGCGCCCTGCTGGGCAGACCCTCCTCCCCCTGAGAGCGCTCACTGGGCTACATGCGGTGCCTGACCTCGTGGGTTCACAGTGTCTGGGCCCTGGCAAGGAGACTTGTGTGTGTTGGGGGGGGGATGTCACCCAGGGAGAAAGGACCCCGCTGTCGGGAAGGCCCAGTCAGTCCCCCAAGGGCTGCGGGCGAGCGCAGAGCCATCCTCACGCCCCGTTTCGTGAGCCCCGCACTAGGACGAGGGGCAGCCCGTTCTGTCACCCTTAGTCTCTCGCCTGGCCGCCTAGGGAGACAGCGGGGGACCCCTGGTGTGTCAGGAGAGGAGGGTGTGGAAGTTGGTGGGAGCCACGAGCTTCGGCATCGGCTGCGCGGACGTGAACAAGCCGGGGGTCTACACGCGCGTCACCGCCTTCCTGGACTGGATTCACGAGCAGATGGAGGTGGGTGCGGCGCCCGCGCGCTCACGCCGCCCGCGCGGTCCACCTCCGGCCACCCCAGGCCTGCCGCACAGAGCCAGGGACTGACCGACGGCTGTCCATTCCGCAGGCGGCGACCTTGAGGCCCCTGGGTGTCGGATGTGAGCGGACTAATCCCTCGTGCGAGGCCCCGTGCGGGTGCTGGGTGCGGCCCTGGGGGGGCGGGGCACACGTGCCAAGTGGGGAAAGGAGGCGGCGCAGCGCAGATGGGGCGTTGCGCATGCGTGGGGTAGAGGGTGGCCGAGCGGAGACCAGTGCGAGGGGTCTGGACCTTGCCAGGAGCCGGGGACGGAGAGGCTCTGATCAGGAGGGGCTTGGGCAGCTCTGTGCTTG